CTTGTTCCTGGGGAGCAGAGCCCGACCCCCCTGGCTCCAACCTCCTCTCAGCAGCTGCAGGGCCAGCAGGTCTCCCCTCAGCTCCTTTGCTCCAGGCTGGACACCCCCAGCTCCCTCAGCTGCTCCTGCTCACCCTTGTGCTCCAGCCCCTTCCCCAGCTCCCCTGCCCTTCCCTGGACACGCTCCAGCCCCTCCATGTCCTTCCTGTCCTGAGGGGCCCAGCCCTGCCCCCAGGACTCGAGGTGCCCCCTCCCCAGTGCCCAGCACAGGGGGAAGGTCTCCAAGCAGCCTTCCTTACCTGGGAGGGTGTGGGAATAGCTGCTGTCCTGTCATTTTTAAGAAGGGATTCTCTGCAGGTGGTGCTCTCTCTTCACTGACCACTCTTCTTTTTACAGAAGTTCATGGCCAAGCAGCAGCAGCAGGAGGATAACGATGGAGAAGAGCAGAGTTCCAGGTGATGGGAGCAGAGGAGAATCCTCTCAGTGAACTAAACTTAGGGTCCAGTCAACTTTGTGTATTTTGTTATGAGTTCATTTGTAATTTTGTTCCAGAAAGAAGCTTTCATGTTGTATAAAGTTGAGCTCAGCATAGACAGACTAAAAGAAAAAACCAAACCATTTGGTGGCTTTGATTTGTATATCAAATCATGGGGGTTGGAGGAGATTTCTTTCACAAGTATTGATGTGAAATAAATGTTCTTACTGTATAGTTACCACCAGGAGCCTGTGTTTGGTGTCATTTGCTGGGTGTTGCTCATTCTGGGTCACTGCAGTGACTGGGAGGGGATTCAGCCCTGAGATGTCTCTCTGGTGCCCCTTCATGGAGTTCTCAGCAGGTGATATTTCACATCCTGCATCTGCTCCATGCTGCCCAGAGCAGTGACCCTGGTGGCCAAGGTCTCACTGGTCCTGTGGGTTGTTATGTCCCCTTGAATTGTCCTTTTTCTCTGGGCTCTGCAGACCCGGGAGAGTCTCAGACACCCAGGAGGGGCAGAGCCTGTTCCAGCACTGCCTGGTGACCCTGCAGTCAGCCAGGAAGGTCACTGCCCCCTGCTCTTTCTCCTTGGCTGGTTTATTTTGGGTTGTTTTTCCCCCTTTTTTTCCAACCTGTAGGTCAGAGCCCGTGGAGTGCTCAGCCCCGTGGCAGAGCTTGGTAACCTGCTGTGGGAGCTTCTTCTCTGAGGAGCCTGGGTCCCTGGCTGCTGTGCTGTGAGCAGGGGAGCTTACTCTGGATCATGGCTGGTTTTGCTGTGAGCTTTTCTGTATCACCTGGCCACTTGACATTTATTTAAAAGCTGGGGTTTTTTGCTCCCTCTCCCCCCTCCTTGTCTTCCATTTCTTCAACCTTTCACTTGTTGTCTTCAGCTGAATTTTGTACATGATTTTACTTCTGGGGGGTGAAGAAGTGTTCCTGCATGCCCAAGGGAGATGAGGCACTGTGGTTCTGCCTGGTGGGGACGTTCCAGGTGACACCAGTGCCACGGTGGGTACAGATATCCCTGTCTTTTCAGGCCACTGAAAGCACCCAAACCAGCTGAACTTCTGGTTCAGTGAAGGAAGCACCTGGTGTGGAGCATGTTCCTTGATGGGAGCTGCTCCTGTGAAGTCCCTCAGACTCCAGGACTTTGCTTCCTGAGGATCAGGCCTGGGCAGGAGGAGGCCCTCGTGGCTCATGTCAGGGGATGCTCCTGAGCTGGTGAATGCCTTGAAAATCCCTGGGTGTGCAGGGAGGGCACAGGAGCTCACTCGGGAGCTTCATAAACTGCTCCTTGGTTTTGGTTGGGCTTTTTGGGTCCTGTTTTCCACTTCAGTCCCTGCTGAGGGCAAACGTGCTGCCTGTGGGTCCTTGTGCTGCTCCTGGAATCTCCAACCCCCCGGGAACAGATCAGGGCCTCAGGTATGTGTGGGAGGGACTTGGACCAGCAAATCCAGAGGGTCAGAGGGTGGGATTCAGGGAAAGAACAGTGCCTGTGTGAGAGCACACACGTCCTCCCCCTTTGCCCTTCCTGCTGAGGGGTCAGAGATGGTTGGTGTGATGTTAATTACCTGCTTAATGCCTGCCACTGAGCTGCCAAGTCACCGGTGGGTTTGGAGCCATCCATCCAGATGAGAAAAAAAATTAAAACCCTGCCTGGAATAAGTGGGGCACAAACTGGGATTCCGTGCAAAGAGCCTAGGGAAGGGGGGTGGGTGTGAAGCTTTTAGCACCTCCTGGCCCCCCAGGGCTGGGCCTGGCAGAGCTGGGAGAGGCTGGAGGGTCCCTGTCACCACGGGGAGGGCAACCCAGAGGGGTTCACATTGGAATTGGACCCCCTTGCTTTCCAGCCTCCTTCTCAGGGAGTGGTTGGATCCAACCTCTGTCTCAGACCTGCCCCTTCCAGGGAGGGGGATTCAGTGTGTGACACCCCCTGGTCAGATGAAGGTGAAAGGACACCCAGGGTCTGCATTTGATTATTAGGTTTAATTAAAGCTACAGAAGGGATATGGGGCACTTCGGTTGTTACGTCAGGCTGTGTGATCATAAAGGCTGACAATTAGATCAGGAGAACATGATACATGTTCAGGCTGCACAACCTGAGAAAAAAAACCCTGGTGAGGCCTTGGGTGACTTGGTGACCTTAGGAAGGGAGAGAGAGAAGAGTTGATAGAGAGGTGGGGAACAGAAAATCCCCAGTCCTGGATCCAGCGTTGGGCCAACAGGGGAGAGTTGGTGTCAGGGGGGCTCCCCAAGGCCCCCCCCACACGTGATGGGCTGAGTTTCCTGGTTTCACAAGGATGAGCAAGAGTGTGTCATGAGTGTGTCATGAGTGTGTCATGTAGGGGTTGGCTGAGCAGCTGGACGAGCTGCCCCCTCTGCCCTCCTCCTGATCTCAAGGGCTGTACCTGCAGCCACCAGCGCTGCCTCCATCCTCCCAAGGCCTTTTGGGATGCAAAGGAGACTTTGTTTAGGGGTTGCAATGGGGTTTTTGATTCCAGCAAGTGTAGGTCCTGAGGGCTGGTCCCTCACAGCCCTGCAGGGAACAGCATCCTTGGCTCTGTGGGAGCACCCTCTGCTCCCCGGGAACATCCCTTCCCTGCTCCCCAGCAGAGCTCGGGAGCTTTGCCATGTTTGTCCCCAGCCTCCCCAGGGCACGGGATGTGACTTTGTCCCTGTTGGTCCCATCTGCATCAAAAAGCAGCTGTTTGTGTTCGGGAGGTCCCAGGGTCCCTCTGGAGTCAGGGCAGCCACTTGTCCCTGTGGCCTCTCTTATGTTGCTTTATCCATGTGGAGAACAAGGAGACAAGGTGGTTCTTCATCCCTGCTTCTGCTTCTCCAGCCTCAGCTGCAGAGGAGCAGCCTGTGCCTGGGGCAGCTGCTGGTCCCTGGGGTCCTGCCCTGCCTGCTCTGGGGGGGGACCCAGCCCCTGCTCTGGTGGCTCCTGAGGGGGTTTGGGGTGGTGGGAACAGCCTGAGCTTATCTTCCCCCTCATATTCCCCCCCAAAAAAGCACTGGGGGGGTAACCACCCTTCCTGCTCCCAGCCTGGAGCTTCTCATGGCTGGGAAGGTGGGATCCAGCATCGTGGGGACTCGGTCAGTGAATCCTCCTTCTGCTCCTGATCTCCTTCCCTGTTCTGCCCAGCCCTTCCCTCAGAGACACCACAAGAGCCCGGATAAACCCAGGTAAGTGCTGCAGGGAACGGCCTCAAGTTGTGCCAGGGGAGGTGGAGGTTGGATCTGGGGAACAATTCCTGCCTGGCAAGGGTTGTCAGGGCCTGGCCCAGGCTGCCCAGGGCAGGGGGGGAGTCCCCATCCCTGGAGGGGTTTCCAAGCCCTGCAGATGGTGCTGAGGGACGTGGGTTGGTTGGGTGGTGGTGCTGGGTTGATGATGGGGCTGGAGGATCTCAAAGGTCTTTTCCAACCTTCTTGATTCCATGATTCTCTGGCTCTTCTGAGGGGATTTGTGCTGAGTTGGGAAGGCAAAGGGGATGGAGCTGGGGGGCGTGGGGGGGAGGGCAAAGCTGCCAGGGGTGTCTCCTGCCAGTGCTCGAAGGTTTAATCTCCCTAATTAGTCACATTGTGCCTAAATGCAATTAATGGCCCTGCTGCTTAGGGGGAGATTCCTCTCTGATCCCTGCTGGGGGCAGCTCCTGGTTTTCCATGGGGGGCTCAGAGAGAGAGAGAGAGGGAAGGGGGGTTGGTGAGAAGCCCAGGGGGGAAATGGGGCTGGGGGGTGGGTGGAGTGGCAGGGGGGGGGGGGGGGGGGGGTGGGGGCG